AAAATCGCATAACAGCCGAGCATACACCCAGCAGCGCTGCTGATGCCTGAACGGTATGTGGAATGAAGTGGGCGGGCATCGGGAGGCCACTATGGCACGGGGCAAGCACTATGGGCAGTCTATCTGAAGTGTACCTGGCGTATAAGACGACCCCCCACTTGGAGGCATATTTTTCAGGGCCAAAAAATCGTCTTATACGCCGGCAAATACGGTAATTTCTGTAATGCACAGGCCTCCAAAGTTCTCAGAGACCTTTCCTCTGGGCTCTCCAGCTCTTATCAGGGCCCGACTCAGTACAATGTTGGAGACTAAAGCAAACCTGAGGCAGAAAATTCTAAAGGGCAAGGTAGAGCTTCACTGAAGTTTCTGAAGGAGGTGGAAAAGGGATACCCAACACTTCTTTAAAGCATTTTATAAACTTCTTTCCAAATTTCACTTCCTTCTTACCTCCATCTCCTCCCTCTGCTTCCCACTCCCCGACCTTTCTTTCTGGGAGTTAACTTCACCTCCTGGAGCCATTTGTCTTCTATCACCTTTTCCAGCGACCCTCTCCCTTCCTCACCAAGGGGCAACAAGGAACAATGCTTAGCTGCCAAAGAAAAATTTCTTTCTCTTTAGATAGAGCTCAGGGGACTGGGTGATATTCATCATTCGACATTACAAAATAGGGACAAGAATCATACTTCATACAGGTGTTGTGAGAATTAAATGAGATAATATAGGTGAAGTTCTTAGAACAGTGACTGCTATTCATCTGCAAAGAGTACTGTTAACCGAATGCCTTCTTTTGGTGCCTTTCTGATCTGCCTCAGCTTTCTAGCCAAGGCCACATCCAGGACAGCCCCAAACTAAAGACATAGTGGGTGATCCTAGTGCCTGGTTATTTCTGTTCAGCGTGGTATTCCTCTAATGGGCAATCTTTGTTCCTACGTCCCTCTTGGACTGGCTGTGCCTTTGACAGGTCTGCATTGCGGACGGAGGCTCTTCCTGCCCAGGTCTGCTTCCTCTGCCCTTAACGTTTCTCAGGCATTGACCCCTATAAATTTCTTATGCTTCTATTTCTGTCTTTGCATCTGCTCCCTGGAAAACCCAAATGACACATAGTACTTACCGTTACTTAAACTTATATATTTATTTGTGTAATATTTAATTAATGTTTGCAGCACACTGAAAAATTCATGAGGAAAGGGGGCCACCCCTACACTTGAAATTATATTCTTAGTTATCTTCCAAAAATACACAAAGCCCTCAAAAAATATTTGTGGCAAGAAAATTAACTTTTACAGGCATCATCTCACTAATCCTTTGAGAGAATTTCCATGATTGTGCCATTTTGAAGGTGAGAAAACTGAGTGAGTGAGATTAACTTGCCCAAGTTTGATATCAGGTGTGTTTGATATCAAAGATCTGAACCTCTACTCAGTTCTCTTCCTGAGCAGGTGAAAAAGAGGATGAAATGACTTTTCAACTAGGACCCCTGGGTTTTTGCCTTTCTGGTTCTTATTCCTACAAATATAGTGAGCTTGATTTGAAAAGGGATCTTACCTAATTAAGTTTTTGTGTTTCTAATAGTGACTGGTACATAAAAATGCTCACTCCATGTGCAGTAAAGTGGATGGGCAGTGGAGGCCAGGGATGATGCTTCAAGAAGATGATTTCTGCTGCCTCTTTAGATGCCAGTAGAGGAATAAGAGTCAACTCTGTGGATTATCAAGAGGAATGGAAGCCCAGGACTCTGGAGCACAGCTTTCTCTAACCATAATTCTCCTGCCCCCATGTCTGAGTCAATATGGCAGCGGCCTCTGTAAAGTTTCCATTCCTACTGCAAAGAGAATCAGTGCATCTGAGAACCAATCATTTTGCCTCTTGCCTTCAGAGTTGTGATGTATTTCGAGCAGCTAAGAATGAATTATTGCAGCAGAGCCTGGAAGGAACCTTAGAAAAAGATTTAGCCTATTTTTTGGGGGGGCGGGGGGAGTGGACGGAGGGAGGGGGGATTGAGGCTGAGGGAGAGAAAGCAACTTATCTAAGTAGCCGAGGTGGAACTGGAACAAGATCTCATGCCTCTGCATTCCTGACTCCCAGACTGCAGAGGAAACTGAAGCTCTTTATTTTGTTTCCTAGCAGGAAAGCTGAATGTTGCTTCAGAGAGAGTCACAACCACATTTTGCTGGGATGTGGCCCTGGGGGAGAGGATTGGGCTGGTGAGGGGAGGAGGTGAACAGAATAGCAGTACTGTGCAGGAATCAGTGTTTCCTAGACAATTCTGACTCCTGAAAGTGAGACATACTCACTGGAAATAGAGTCATAACTGCTGGACTACAGAGCTGCCTAATCTAGTTTGATCTTAGTGTTGGAAAGTCTGACCAAATTTGAGTTCTCCTGCATGACTTTCTCAAATCCTTAATAGTTCTAGCCCCAAACAATGCCTGCTTTCTTTCAAGGAGCTCTTGCCACTATGCTGACATTGTCTCTGTGTGAATATTTGTACCTCCCCGGTGTTATTTCCGTCTTTTAAATGAGAAAAGGAGGTAAAAGTAGGTCTTGCCATAGGTCAAGCCCTCTCAACATTAGGACCAATCTCTCTTTGTTTACAAGGGTCAAAGGGGTTCTCAGATCCGATAGATCAGGTAGCCCCAGCTCTCTCCCAGCCACTGGTCCTCCCTGGTGCCTGTCAGCCTGCCAGGAGCCAGTGCCGCAGCTCTCTTAGGGCCCATCATTATCCTGGTTGGCAAGGAGGCCCTGCTGGGTTTGGAGAGGGCCAGAGAATAGGGCCACAAATGGAAGACCACAGAAAAGAAATGAAGAAAAAAAAAATCCTGGGGAAATGCATCAAAACAGTTCTGAGAGCAAAACTCTGGCTATGGACTGAGGATTGGCAAAAAAAGTGAAATAGCCCTGGTCAAGGTCAGAGCAGTGAGGACATCCTCAAGCTGGAAACCGAAATCAATTCTTCTTTCCTTTCAGCCTGGCAGCTGCATCTGCTGGGTGCCTGGGAAGCTGGGGCACGAAGGGACAGTCCTGGCAGCAGCCCCAGGGAAAGGCAAAAGGGCCCACAGGCACATGGCTGGAGCCAGGAAGGAGCTCATTCTTTGACCCTGGTCATGGGCCCCCTGCTAACAGGGGCAGAGCCACTCCATGGCCTGTGAAGGGCACCGTGGGAGTATCTATTCTTGTGGGTTCCCGTTTCCAGCATGATTAGTTTTTCATACATTTGTTTTTTAAATCTAGGAATCCTATGTCCTTGTAGCTAAAGCCTTGTTTTGATGAGAGTCAGGGTAAGAAGAGACGGTTCCTCAATTATAAAGTTTAAGATTCAGGGCAGTAAAGCTGCTGCATTTCTTGCCAGAATCAGTTCTTGCCAAGACAGGTCCAAGAGTTTTAGATCAATGAAGCAGGAGGAAGGGAGGTGGAGAATATGGGAAAAGAATACCCCTTGCTCTCTCTTCTGCTTCACCTCTTGGTGGAGTGTATAAAAGTGGATGTAATTTACAGCTTTGAAGGGGTGGGGAGGGAAAATAGTATGGCCAGAACAACATCATCTGGAGGCAGATCTGACTGCCTCTATAGCGGAGATTAATGAGAAAAGATGTGATGAACACTTATTGAGCACCTATCAGGTGCCAGGCATTATGCTGGGCACTGGGCATTCAGAAGCTAACGAGATATACCGCTATGGGGTTCACATTCTAGAAGAGGAGGAGATAGATATGCTCACAGACAATCTCAAAACAAGGCATAATGTAATAGGTTCAACAGAGATGCAAGCTGCATGTTACAGAAGACAGGAGAGGTGAGAATAATTCCATCTAGAAGATCACCTGTTGGAGGAGGTGATATTTGATCTGAAATTCAAAAGATGATTTTCTTTTCCTTTGCTTTGTGCATCAATGTTTTGCTTACTCAAATAAATAAATGTATTAGCTTAAGAAAATGAAATATCTCCATGTTGCATTCTAACAGCAGCAACAAAATGTGTGGCGGATAGCACTTGGGGACATCATCACCATCTGTCAGAGCTAAGGTTCCCACTCAATTGCCAATAGCCATGAAACAAGGGAACGCAGGTTCTGGGAAGAACCCAACAAACTACAATAAGAAATAGGAACTTCTTCGGGGCAATTGATAACACTTTACTTAAGAAAGCAATATTGTCCTTCCCCAATAATATGCAGCTATTGCATCCTGTGGCCACAGCTTAAATCATATTTGTGACTCACTGTTATTTTTTAAAAATATATTTTTATTGATTTCAGAAAGGAAGGGAGAAGGAGAGAGATATAGAAACATCAATTATGAGAGAGAATCATCGATCAGCTGCCTCCTGCATGTCCCCTACTGGGGGTAGGGCCTGCAACCCAGGCATGTGCCCTTGACTGGAAGTGAACCCAGGACCCTTTAGTCAGCAGGCCGATGCTCTATCCACTGAGCCAAACCCACTAGGGATCACTGTTACTTTTCATGTGAAATTGCTTTAAGAACATAGCAAGTAGTCAAGTCAGAGGTTGAAACAACTCACCTAGGTGTTTTAACCAGAGGTAAGCAAACATTTTCTGTAAAGGCCTAGATAGCAAATACTTTCATCTCTGCAGGTCACATGGCCTCTGTTACAACTACCCAACTCTGCCATTACATCATGAAAAGCGGCCAGAGGCAATATGTAAATGATGAGTGTGGCTGTGTTCTAATAAACCTTTATTTACAAAAGCAGTGACCTGGGTTTGGTTCTAGGGCCATCGTTTGTTGAACACCTGCTTTCAACCATCAGTTTAACATTACTCTCCTCAACCCTGCTGCCCTTCCACTTCTGTAACATGAAGGCAGTGGAGGTATCCATTAAGAGCCTCACTCTTCTTTCACACACGCACCATTTCATTTCCCGATTCACTGTTTTCTCTTTATATTTTAAAATAAAAACATTCCATCCCTACTTTCTAACCTAAATTTCCATCTCGATTTTTTTCTGCGTCTAGCCAGGCATATCTTAATAGTTACATAGACTAATCTCATCCTTAGCAACAATTGTGGCTAACCTGCCCTGGAAACAGAATTTCTAGAGCTCCATCCGGTGGAGCACAGGTTGCTAGTTGTAGACCTCAATATCAATTCTACTTTTTCCTTAGTAATATAACTCCCAATATTTATCTAGGCTTATAGCCACCTGGAATATAGTCATTTCCCAGTCGCTTTGTAGCCGAGTATGACCAGGTGATTAAGTTCTAATGTGACGTAAACACATATTGTGCAGAGCCTCCCAGGAAACCATTTTTGAAGGCAGCTGGTGAGTGTCCTCTCCCATTCTTCATCTTTTTCTCCACAATGCTATGTGGGAAAATGGTGTGATGACTGAACTCCAGCTGCCCCCTTGGACCTTGCGGACAAGGACTCTGTCATAAGGATGTCAAAACAGTGAGCTGGAAGGAGCCTTAATACTTGAGGATTGTGGATCTCACACTAGCCTTGGATCAATTTTCGCCTGATAAAGAAAGAAACTTCGACCTTGTTTAAGTCACTGTTACTTGAAGCCATGCTTAATCCTAACGAATTCATTCAGATGCTTTCAAATTCTAAATAAGGATATTTATTTTT